GTTACAAAAAGTGTTCACTGTCTAAGGTCGCTCTAGTTACCTACTATCTTAAAAGAAGTAGATATAGGATAACACCACCAAGTGAGTTGTGCAATGCTTTGTGAAGATAAAGTTAATGTGGAATCCCAACCCTGTCTTTTAATGTGGCATTTTTGTTGCGTAATAATGCTCTGGTCATAAGATGAGCTAGGAAGATCACATTTGTTGTTGCAATTAATTTTCCTATTATGGATGCCAGTTTGCGAATATGAATTGTGGTTTTTGTGAGTATTGACTTGCATTCTCTTATGACTTCTTTTACTTTTAGATGGGGAAGAGATATTGTCATCTTTGATGTATCTATAGTAAATCCAAGATATTCCAATACTTTTGACGGGGTTAGGCATGACTTTCCCAATTGATGGTAAAACCCAGAGAATTTAGGGTATGAAATGTTATATTTAAATGTTCTGTAGTCTCTGATTTTGTATTTTCAACTATAAATAAGTCGTTTAGATAAGCTATAATTCTGATGCCTAAGGTGTGAAGATGTTTTATTACAGGGCGTAATACTTTTGTGAAGATTAATGGGCTAGTGGATAAACCAAATGGAAGAGCTGTGAATACATAATGTTTTCCATGAAAGTCGAATGCAAAAAAAGATTGATCTTGTCTGTTGATAGGAATGTGTAAAAAAGCATCTTTTATGTTTAAAGATACCATGTAGTGATCCGTGAAAATTAGAGTCTTCACCATCTCTATTCCTTCCATTTTGAAATGATAGTGTGTTAAGTATTGGTTGAGTTTTCTGAGGTCTAAAACTAATTGACTTTTGTCATTCTTTTTGGGAACTAAGAAAATTCTGGAGATAAAACATGGTGTTGTGGTAGGTATTGATTTTATAATTCCTTTTTTCAAGAACTTTTTTATTTCTGTCATAATCTCTTGGTCATAGTGGTGATGAGATATAGGTTGCTTTATTCTGAGAGATATAGAAGCCCAGATAGGAGAGTATCCTTTGCTTATAATTCTTGTAACCCAGGATTCTTCAAATATTTCTATCCAGTTTGCAATATGTAGACATAGACCTGATTGTTGAGGTGAATGAATCTTCGATCTCATGTTTAATTCTGATTTTGCTTTGTGTTGTAGAAGTTGTTCCTTGAATTGAACGTATTGTTTCTGGTACTTTCGCCAAAAAAAGATCTTGAAGAATTCTGAAATCTTCATGAAGATCGTAAGAAAAAACTTCCTCTCACGCGATTGTCGAATTTTTTATAACTAATGTTTTGATGTTTTTGGTAATAAAAGGAATTGTGGACAAGTTTATTTTTTGCATTCTCTTTCTCCAATGTATTTTTGAGTTCTGTAGGGTCGAAAACTTCCTCCTGTTCAGATGCCGGTTGATATGATGGTTATATATATTTAATTGCCTCATTACGCCTAATTTCATTAGTGAAGGATAGACTGTCAAGTATAAGACTTCTGGTATCAAGTAAAGATTGTTTAAGAGCTTTCCAAGACTCAAGTGCTTCATTATCTGAGTCATCAGGTTTTGAGTCATATAAAAGACATAGGGAATTGTCAAGAGGGCATATTGCTGCTGATGTACGGTACAATATTTTTGCAAGTGATTTGTCATACTCTCTAGTATTCTTTGGCATATATTTCCATAAACCTTTATCCATTGTTGGAGGTTTAAAACCAATATGTTTATTGTAAGGGTGTGCTTGTAAAATAGATTTTCTTTCATCAAGGGTGAGAAGATTGTCCTTGAAAATTTTTGTGGGTAAGTTACACATTTCGTTTGGTGGTTGCCAAGAATAACCTTCTGGTGACTCTTCTTGTTCATCGTCTTCAACAATATTACTATCAATATCGTCGTTGTGCAATATATTTGCAGTATTTTGAGATGGAACCAACTCGTAATCATCATCATGGTTGGTATTATTTTCTGAAACTTGTATACAAGCTTGGTTATTCGTCATAAAGAGATCATTATTCGAAGTGTGGACAGCGCCAAGAAAAAACAGTCTAGAGAACAAAAGATAATAGATTAGTACTATTTATATATAGTTTATTAATTAAAACAAAATATGTAATAATGATGTAATCGTTCATAATGTATCTCCAAAAATTTGGGACAGCGACAATAAAAGACAGCTTAAGCACATGATCAGGATCTAAACTCTGAGTGTGGTTCATTTACAAGTAATCAGGTTACAATTAAATATACTTCGAGTTAACAAAAGTTAACAGATCGAAAAGATAACCAAACAAGAATATTTCAAAAGCAATTTGGTTAGTTTTTTCTGTAATTGTAGCCAGCATGCTTAATCAAACATGCTGATAAGCTTGTCTTATACGAACTAATATATAAGGACAGATAAGTATAAATGATTCAATTAGTTGCCTATTTGGATTACTACTAATTATATACTAATAATTATCATTATTAAAATATAAGAAGTACTATGATTTAAGATATTAATATCAGGAAACTCTTTCTGTAAATCCTTTTACACAAAATAACAAAAAATTCGCCAGTAACAAAATCACTAATACCCGGTTATCTTACTAAGATAACTAACTTTGGTGCTTTAATTAAACTTGTTCAGCTCACAATTTTACATATACTCTGAAAGTTATAGGTCTTTAACTTTCAAACTCGCAGTTT